GGTAACCACTGAAGATCAAATGTTCAAACGAAACTTCCTGTATCCAGTCTGTGTGTTCTAAGAACTGGGCCTTAAACTCGTTAAACTAGCTCTGAAAGTGACTTTACAAGTAAGGGCTCGCAGTGCAATTGAGATGAAAAATGCAGCATTTTAAAGTAGTCAATCGGCCTTTCAAGTACGTTTCAAGGTCAAGTGAGATGCTGAGGAGAGGTACTATTGGCCGAACAGTCAAACTTGGCGGAAAATTGAATGCGGGTGAAGACAGAACCTCACATTCGTGTAGAGTGAGTCAACTATGCTAGAATCCGCTGGAATACACCCTATTCTTGACCTAGATCGCCAAGTATATTTCGAAATTACAGAGTTTTTCAGGTGGTAAATTTTATTCACACAGTGACGTGACAAACAGGTTGTGATTGATCAAATCCACCAATGAAAAATTGGCACCATCGTGACGGACTTGCTATTGGCTAATTTAAACCTATTGGGTACAATTTGAACTGGTGGGCATATAAGGGGTCCCACTCGATTAAAATGTCTATCACGTTGACCTTCCAGTTGATAATCACAACATGTGCCAATTTTTTTTATTAACAACAAATATCTAAACTTTATAATTTGTCGATTTAAAGAAATGTGGAGCAAACAGAGAATCACACGACTGATGGCCCGACTCAGTGCCTCGGATTGCTGAACTCCTTCAAGCGAGTTGCCGGCGTGTTTTTTTAGAGGACAATTCTGACTGGCATTCCACAAAAACAAGATTATCACGAAATTTAACGCCTGGATAAATTGGTCATTTTAGCAAAGCCTGGGGAGATAACCATTATGAACTTGCAAATGTGTGACTCTCAGTCATGTTTCTCGCTGCTACAATCATTGGAACCAGTCACAATCTAATTTATGCAATTCCGTTCTCCCTTAAACCAATTCAACATTGAACCTCCATTAATTACATCTTCGATGACGCTGACTTCGTGCTTGAATTGCTGCAGAACAGGAGGTCTTGGACGTCCAAAATTTCCGGACTGCTACCGGAGAAGACCGTTTCATTATCGGTAAGGGCACCTCTAACTTGCACCAACTAACAACAACAAACGCAGATCACGTTGCGTCAGTTGTCCGAACCTGTCGTAGTTACGAAGCGTTGGAATGCAAGATCTCCACGAAAAATTCCAAATTTGACGGATTGCGTAGGAAACTGGCAGATGCGACCGATCTCGAGTAAGCTTTTGATGTCGGACAGCTTATTTTAGGCGGTAGGCCATTAATAATCTCCAGTGTCGCCGGCTAACGCAAGGCTGGACACATTAAGTGGCACTCGAGCTATCAGTCTCCCCAATTTTGGCCTAATTTTGAGATTTCTGCGCCCACGAAAACCCAGGTTGAGTCAGCAACTTGGCCACCTGTCACTCGGTAGCCACCTCTCCTTCACCAATTCAACAAAAGAGCGTCCCAGGAAGGGCTAGAGCAATTCCCCAGGTGGTGCAGCACAAAACACACCCAGTTAGATCTTCGTCAAGGTTACGGAGCAACGACAAATGCGGTGGGTCGCTGTCTAGTGGTAGGTAACTGCGAAATACGAGGGAGTAGTCGTGGACACCGGACTCTGTTAGCTGTGTTGTCGCACACACACACACTTCGTCTCTCAACAAATCCCCACACTTGGACGACGCGGAGTGCCCATTCGGCAAGGATAATTGACCAATTAAGTCGCTTTTTCAGAGCACACTTCCGGACTTTGTTCAGACGAGGGGAGTTGGAACAAAATAGCAGCAAACGACCACAGTCCACTTCGAGGCTTTGTACAATCGCAAAATCCTGTTAATGCGCAGAAACAACTACAGCGCCTAACGGCTCTTGGATTTCCATCGCTGGGAGAAGTGAAGGATCGGCTCAAGAGCGATGCCTAAAAGAAGAGAGACAACAATGAACTCCCATCGTCGCCGCGCTAATTGAGTGACTTGAAAGAACAGTTAATTTAAACAAATCACAAACACAGAGAGAGAAACTAAATTCAAACTTGGTTCGCGTGGTAGGTGATGCAGTTGGAGACACAAACGATCTGGTGGTGAGAGGCTTTTTTCCAACGCCGACTTTGTGTGTGTGTGTGTGAAAAGAAATGAAGCATTCGGAATGGAAAAAAATCGCTGGAAAAGGAGTCCACTGTCTCCTTAAATTAGAAAGAATGAGAAGAATTAACTTTGGTGGCGATTAATGAGGAGGCAGTTTGCCAGCTTCGACGGTAAACCGAAAATTGGACACAAAAGGAGTCCGGTCAGTGCTCTAAGCACTCACAAGACGGAGTAGTTGGCTGGATGACTCCGGGTGTGATTTGGCGCTTAGTGGGGATCAATTTGCGGCCTGATCACTGTCAGCTGTGATGGGCGCAATTTGCAAAGCGTTACACACGAACCACTTCGATTAATCTACACTGGGGGTTTGTTTGAATCAGATCAATGCCCGAGATGTTCAGGGTTGCCATAGTTACAGTGGAACTAAGATCCTCGGAGTGGGTTGCGGTGGTTGTGTTGTTGCTTTTAACCGCCAGTAGATGACTAGACCAAAGAAGACAAAGTTGGTTCATGCAGTAAGCCCCATTTCCTCAAATTTGAGCCTTGTATTTTGCACTAAACTGCGCCCAAATGGTGGCATTGATGTCACACACACACCAAACCTCAACTTTTTCACACAAACACACACAGTTTACATGAAATCCGATTGGCCAACGTTAACAACTAATAAATTAAGGAGAGAAACCTGAGTTTTGGGCGAAGTGGACGAGCTGAAGAGGAACGCTGACGTCCTGCGGTGTGGTGATCCTTGAGCCGATCAACACGGTGATTATGGGGGTGGGGACAACCTCAGAGGCTGGCGGGCGGTACTTGAGGAGATTCACGATTTCCGTTGACGCCTTCGATGCGGAAGGTTCGCTGTTCTTTGAAGCCAGGGACCCCGGTTCGACCTACAAGTTAAGCGGTGAAGCTAACTCCGCCTTTGCACAAGCTAATTTACAAATAACCCCTAAAAACCCCTACCCAAATCGCCGAATTAAAAGGTTTTATCTAACGGGGCTAGACAGGAAATCGTTGGTTTTCTGGTCGAAAACAAGCACATGACACGAACGCAATAACGTGCATTTCCAGCGCGGACTTCAAACGAAACGCGAAATTTTATCATCGTACCACCGATTGACCAATCAGAGGAGGCGATTCACTCAGGACAGTTTTTGAGGACAAAGAGACGAATTTTGAGGAGGAAAATTAACAAAGCAGGAATCGGCTTTGCTGCAGCCACCTGAAGTAACTTGGGCATTAATTCGAGGACTTTTTCAACTAGAGACTAGAACCCTTCAACCAGTTAAGCAGCAGGCACAATCAGTGGATTAATGTCTGATGAGTCACTCAAAGACGTGAACCAATCATCGTCGTGTAGCAGGACTGGACCCTCGGAAGCGATCACCTGGCCACATCAGCCAAGAAGAATATCGAGGAAAACAGCACGCGGAACCACCTTGGAAAAGAAGGCGGCGCATTCAACGATGCCGATCCACCTGGAGGTCACAGCGAAGTCGGGCAACGGCGTGGCAGCCGCATCGTCACCACTGGTAGTCGACTGGATCTTGTTCAGGCGAATCTTCTGAGACTCAGGCAGATCCTCGTCTTCCGTCTGGATGCGGAGATAGCTTCAAAAGACGCAACAGGTTAGACGCGGACTCACTCGCTAACCACACCAACGGAATTATTAACAAGTTGTGCTAACAACGCGGCATAACAACCAAAACTGGGGTGGAAAAAATTGAAAGATGGTGGATGCACCTGAAAACCCCTAGGGTAAAGGATGGTTACGTTCTGTGAACAACGGTTGAAATTTACCCCTCTGCCCCCACTCCCTGCAATTGTTGCGCTAGGCGAGATTTCGCCTGTTAATTTACGCTTTCAATCCAGTAAAGAGACGCGGCTGCGTTATCCAAAAATTGTGGTGCCTTCAACCAATCAGATTTTACTCTCTCTGGGTCAACCAATCAGCACGTAGCGGTGTGAGCCGATTAAAATCGATTAAAGAACTTGCTGCCATATCGATTGTGGCCGGTGAAATACTGTGAAACGGGTCATCTGCATTCTCTAAAGGTCAGTGGCGGTGCAAGAAAGAGCAGTCAAGTTGACTTTGAAACTACAGATCGACCTCTCCCCGGAGGAAACAAGCCGAAGTTATGAATGGTCGGTAACTACGCAAAATCACTTGGTATCCGCGGTCTCAGTGCGTATTAAGACAGGTGTTCGTCACCGTGGTTTTTGCACAGCACTCGACTGAAACGAAACGACAGCATCCTGCGAAATTCTACACTGTTTGTCTAATCAACGATTCACATGCTTAGGACTAGTGCATTTCCGCGATTCACCATACACACCAATCTCGTATCGACCGCGTATCTCAACCGCCCTCGTCTCATTGGCTCATTTCAATTCAATCAATAATCTGCGTCCCTTCGTGTACATCAGTGACATTGATTGCCCATGGACACTGCAACACACACACACACACACAACGGTTTTGTCATCAACCAGATTGGCTGGTGAAGGTCGTAACCACGACCTGAAGTGAATAAATACCGCGTAATTTAAAAAATATGAGGAAGAGGGCGGAGAGAGAAAGGCGAAGAGGAATCTCACCGATTGCCGATGTGGGTTTGCTCCTCCAGAAACCGAATGACAGCTCTCGCCGTCACCGTCGTCTTCTTCAGGAGGTCAAGGTGCGCGATAACTGCAAAAGAAAACGCACACATAACACCTGGACGGCCCAACGTGACCCCCAAGAGCATCGTGGAACACTTTTCGTGGCAAACTTGTCGGTCAAACGAAAACCCCGCTTCCAAACGCACACCGGCATCAAAGACCGAAGCTTGGCGACCAGCAGACCAGCACAGTTAGCATTCGTGAGCGAACACAAATCAATCGATTTTTTTTTCAGTGGATGCACTTCACGCAAATCCGCTCTTTCAGGGATCGATACTTAGCGAAGCTATAATCGATTTTTTCTCGTGAATGCACTGTTGTGGACAGACAGCCACCGCGCGCGTGAGTGCTGTGCGCATGCCTGCCCGACTGCATCGATGACTCGCCCTCTTTGTTATTGATTTTTGTTAGCAGTCGCCTGTTACGCACACAGAAGTGGGTTTCATCACGATTTTACTCGACTTGACTGGCGTGACGCAAATAAACGGTCGTGTTCCCCCTTTCGACTCTTTGCCTTCCCTCTTCTCAGGTCGTGACCGGCTGTTATCTATAGGGTTTTGCGGTAGTGCTAATTTAGGCCCCTACAGATATGCGTGTTTCCGCGCGTTAACCCCACGGATTCGCGAAAAAAAGAAGAAGGTACACGTGATTGTCTGTGACAGGGGAAAGTGCCCATTAGGGCGGGGGCTAGAATACCGCGTCCGGAACAGTTGTTAGAATCAAAGTGAACCGTGCACCGTCGTTGTCAAGGCACTGCAGCGAGATTAGATGTGTCGATTAGACCGAGAACAGTTGGTGCAGGAACGGGGGGGGGGGTTAGCAGGACCGATGTGGCATGACATGCCCACGCTAGCACCCACAATCCCAGTTGCTATCTACAAAGTGAACTTGTGTAGATTACGCACGACACGCACAACACACACACGCGCGCACATCTCATCATTTTCATCCACTGGATGAGATTTTGCGCGTTTTTTTTTAACAAAAACGCCCTCATTGGTTGGCAAAATTGAAGTTCACAGTTGGGCAATCTTAAACCCCCCCTAGCACTGCAGACACGCACTTACCGGCTCGAGGGATGAGGATGACGTATTGCTGGGTGGAGAGCAGGCATTTGACGAAAGGCATGTGTCCAAGTAGACAAAAAGTGTCCAGCACGATGTAGGGCGAGGGCTGGAATTTGGCCTCCAGTTGACCACCGAAACCAGCGACAGGGCGGACGCTCACTGAGGCTCTTTTGTCCATCTCCTCGGACAGTTTGTCCACTTGGTTTTTTAGACGGAGTTTTGCCATGTTGCGCATAGCTTCCTCGCGCATTGCAGACGTCGACGTAGACGGCTGTAGAAAAGTTAATTGGTAAAACGGTCGCTACTCGTTTATATTAAGTAGGTATTTTATAACACACTCACCTTTTCCGCTTCGGGGAGTGTGGGGAGGTCACCGAGACCCACAAGCGCCTCCTCATTTACAATTTTCGGCGGCTGAACCTTGGGTCTGTACGGCTCTCTCTCCTTCTTAGCCTTCCGTGGTCTGTATTTACGGGGAACTGGGCCGTCGGACCGCTTTTGGTGCGAACGGGAGAAGGTTTTGGTGCTGTCGGTGGGAGGCGGGGCCGTGAAGTAGTTGGACTCGGCGTGGTATACGAAATTCACACCCAACTCCGGCGTCTGCTGAGCGAACCGGCGTCCGAAGCGGACCAACACGAGGCACCGCAAGAGCGCCTCCTCAATTCGACTACTTAGGGTGCCCTGGTCGAAGTCGAGGCTAGCGTGGAGTGCGGAGAGAGACGGCGTGCCCCGAAGCAGCCAATCCTCCGGCAAAGGCGTGCGTCTAGACGTGTCGCCGCCTTGTTGGAGCTCCCGCCTCAAGGCCTCTCGACACTGCGCAGAGAGGTGAGGCATTAGCTGTGATGGCGAACGCACTCCGTCGCTCGGCAAACCGACGTAGTCACACGCCAGCAGCTCCGCGTCGGAGAACTCGCGCTCGACTTGAGCTACAATCGGACTGAGGTAGTTGAGTAGGCCGGCTAGACGGCACACCGCCTGCTGCACCAACGCTGCGCGCGAGGCGGTCGCCTGCGGGAGGAAGTCACGTGACAGCGCGAGCCAATCGGTGAGGAGTTTGACGGCGGCGAGGAGGCCGTCGACAAAGTGGGCTGCGACAAAGAGTCGCACCCACGTGTACTCCTGCAGCACCTCTGACTCATCGGACTCCGCCTTGGTGTCCTCGTTTCGATCGGAATCGTCGTCTGCCTTGGTGCTGGCGCGCGCACTTGGAGGGGTCTTATTGTCGTCTTGGGTGGAGTCTGCGTGTTCACTCTCTGGAATGAGCAAAATCCGCACAAATTGAAGCCGACTTCAAACCGGACTTACCTGGAGGCGATTGGGCGTCCTCTTCTGGAATGGGTGACTGGCCCTGTCGAATGGAATCTGCCTGCAAACTGGTCTCTGCCAACTCCTCGTCTTCCCCACCCGACAGAGGAGACTCTGAGTTCTGCAAAAAAGGGGGTCACCGTTGGACGATTTTGAACGGATTACGCGGGAAGGTTTGACGGGCCTGTGAACTAGTTACCCAGGGCTCACCTGAGAATTGAGTTCGCTGTCGACAGGCCTGACGTTGTCGCCGTATTCCTCTTCCAAAGAGCTCCAGTCTTCCTCATCTTCCTCGACCTCGTCGTCGTCGTAATCATCTTCATCCTCCGAATACTCACTACCCTCCTCCTCCTCTTCCTCATCGTCGTCGTAATCGCTAAGAGAACTACAAAAAAAGTCGTCCTCCTTGCCCGGCCGACGGCGTGGACGAAGTCGTCTTAGCCGCGGACCCCTTACGACCTCGCCTGAGGTGTCGGATTCCACGGCCACATCTTCGTTGCTGCCGTTGCCGTCTGCAGGCGCCGCCGCCGCCTCAGCTGCCTCACGCCGATCCACGGGCTCATTCGCCTCTTCATTGGCAGCGTCGTCATCATTTGAGTTATTGTCCAACGGAGGATTAATCTCTACAGGTTTTGAAGGGCCGAAAAATAAATGAGCACTTCGTCGGGTTGTGCAGAAGCAATTCAGCGAGAAATCTTACCCTGTGCGTCAACACCCTCAAGAGGAGCGTCTCCACTGAGCGTTTGTTTTGCACCCTGACCGCTTCGTTTGCGCCGGCGACTCGTACTTTGACCTGCGTCAAGGCGCTTAGAAGCAGCCGTCGTGAACATATTCACGGTTTTTGCCATGGCGTGGGAGGCGTGAGTTAAAAGCAGGTTTAGTGATAGCAGAATGAACAACGGAAGTTCTTTTGAACGCTCAAAAAGTTGTTCCATTGGAGGCTAAACAAGGCGAGGATTAATGGAGGGTAGAAAGGAACATATACCTCTTGGGATTCACAACCCTTGCTGTCGACTAGAAAATCTGTAAAAAGGACAGCGCACAGAACCATCCGCAAAATAATAGGCGACAGAAGAGGAGTGGTCGCAGTCTTCTGACGGTTGAACGACTCAGAATCCGGACAAAAGTCCGGAACTGTGCTGTACGTTCCAGTAAATTCGGGCAACATGTGGGCTATGCACTTCGCGCCAAATCGCTTGGTCTCCGAGCGCAGAATGAAGCTAAAATCCTCCAAAACTTGGTCAAGCAAGTCTGGATCCTTCGTCGAGTCGATGGCGTGAGTCTCGGGTCTAGTAAGAAAAGAGGAGTGGTTCATGTGAGACACTGGCTTACTTTATGTATGCTTGCGTATTCCTGTGAATGAGGTAGAGGAACTTAACTATGGTAGCACACAAGTCCTTCAACCTGGAACACAATGTCTATGATTAATGGGTGGCAAACTTTATGGCAGCCTTTCGTTGGAGCACTTGGGACTGTAAACTGGGCATTGACGGCTTGGACTCCTTCATACTGGCAAAACGGGCCTCGTTTTTAAGCAGAATTGTAGCAAGATTGCCTTTGGCACCGTCAAATGGTATGGGGGACACGATGCTTCGTAGGCAATGGTAGACTGCATTCAGGCCATAGCACCTACCCACGTCAAGAGTTCCGAGTTGATTGTGAGGGGTGCCTGAGACAAGCTGGCTTAGTAGGCAAGAAAACATACCATTGCTGGGGTTGACAGCAATTGCCAACTGGTAGTACTTGTAGGCAATACGGCGAGCATGGAAATCACCGACATCTAGATGATATCTAACTGCACAAGAAAGTAGAGAAAGGCGTACTGCTTAACTTACATAAATCGCCTATATATACAAGGAACTTCTGAGCAATTTTCTCCGCCCAGAGTGAATGGGCAGTGCTGACTTCCTTACTTTCGAGACCTAATTAATTTATAAAGGAACTATGAATGAAGCTGTACGTGTAATCATGCCAAAATCCAACATGCCCCAAGCTTTAGACCAGACATCGGGGCGGTAATACTCAAGTTGAAAACGAAGCAACAAATTTTGATAAAACCCAAGTGCGCTTGTAAGATGAGCTTTGTAAGCTTCTTCAAACGAGGAGGATTGTAATGACCCTGCCATGCCCTAGAAAAATATGTAACTAGTTTAATGCTCACGCGTATAATTGCCTTCGCAACATGGACAGGTTCATAAAAAACCTTACTCCAGAGAATTTGCTCACACTTATTTCCATATGTTGAAGGGTCAAGAAACATCAGCTTAACAAGAATTAGTTTGAGGCTATTTAATTAGAAGATAAAACTTTTCAATACCGTAGTCTATGGCTGTTAGCACTAGGGCCGAAAAGAGTTTTGACTGGTTTCCCACTCTTGTAGACGGCATCAAGTTTTTTAATTGCATCACATGCACTCCTAAAAAAATTGATCGATTAAGTATTTATCCTACTTATAAAGAATAACTTGTTTAGATTTTGAAGAATTTTCGCTCGTAGACACCGAATCAGGTGTAATTGACATTTTCTAAAATTGCTCTAACTAGTTTATTCATTAAAAGAAGTCAAAATTACAACAAAGCCTATGCTTTTTGTACAGTCAAATATGCAAGGTTCTCACTGTTAAACTGTTGAATTTTAGTAATAAATTTGGTTAAAATGCCCCTGGTTTACCATAAAAAGTTGTTAAAAAACATTCAGAGTGATCTTTTGAGTTGTCAATTTTCCTTTAAGTATTCCGGATTTCATATTTGCTCACCAACTTATTATTATTTTGATACAAAGTTGTTAAATGAAATGTGCGCATAGGCTTGTTCACATAGTTATATTTTTACCTCAATATTTACCATTATTAGTGAAGTATACACTGCAATATATTTGTGTGCAAAGAAAAAACAGTGATGCTCCTATAACGAAATAACATTTACAGGGCAATTTTTTAGGTTATCAAGCCTAATTCACTCCCACCAGTCTTTGAATCTCACAAAGCCACCAAAAATGGTTTTTACATGTTTTGTCAGCTTGGCCAGAATTTAGTAGTATAGACAAACATTTTGAACGTAATTAATGAAAACAGGCACCAAATAGGTAAATTACGTGCACATAGTCAACGCGTTTGGGATTGAAAATCAGTTGCAAAATCTTCGGAAATATATTTTTAGGTACTTAGATATTCTTATTAAGAATTATTACATGTATTTCAACATTTTTCTAAAGTGTAGTTAAGATTCGCGTCGCCATTTTTCTCTTTTTATTAACAATTAGTCAATTATAGTATGCACGCCTAAATCTCCCACAAAAAACCAACCTGCAGAATTCCTGTTTAGAAACTTTCGCACAGCTCCTGTTTGATGCTTGCGACATTTTAAATCTTCCTGTCGAAACAAAGAGCTAAGTATTTCAAATCGTACCTGTGTTGAAGTACCTATCGAGTCCGTTTTATGATGGGAATCCTTAAATTGGTTCTCGAGTAAGCTCCGGACCAGCCAGTTACTCCACTCAGGTACTCGAGATGGCAAAGAAGGTAGATCCGGAAGCATTCATGTTTACGCATGTACTCGAGGGAACGCCAATGCTCAAACGTCAACAGGTAACCCCTAGGTTATCGGACGGGGATGCATACTATTAGTCGTAGGTGAATTACTAAGGAGTGTGTTGACATGCTTTAACAGTCGTGATGGACGTCCCTTAATTATATTTTACCACGTGACATTATACCTTAGTTCAAGTAGGCCAGTATGATGCGGATGGAATGGGCGCGCGATCTAAATGAAATTGCCGTGCGTGCCAAAATGGGCACAACAAGCGTAAAACCTCAAGACTTACGTGTGTGAATGATTAGCGGAATAAAGGATCTGCAAGTCACAAGTGTTGTTCAATGGGGACCCTAAAAAAGGCAAGGTGGACAAACACACAAACCAATTATTGTAAAGGAAGTGAATTACCAAAGGGTTTGGACACGGTACACTAAGCACAAATGCACCCCCATCGTCATTACTATGGTTATTATTTTGAAATTATTAGAAACAAATCGAGCTGTAGAATCTATTCAAGAACATTCCAAAGCAAAAACATTTTGTCCTCCGATGGTCTCGTTATGGCCGTTAAATTCAATGGAAGAAGGCGAGTGGTAGCTGAAAGATAAGTAAGAACAGGGCTCTTTCTGGAAGGCGTTGTTATTCCACGAAGGTACTGAAAATTAGCTGTATGTAAACGAAAGCAAACAGAATTTCTAGAAACGCAGGAAATCATTCAACGAAATTTAGTGTTTTGTGAAATCCGAATTTCTGGGAACTGTGCAAACTCAGCTGGCGCCACCGTCTCTATTCACCAAGAAGCCGCTAAATCTACTGATATCCACAACGATCGACCAAGAAGAACTCTTGGTAGTGACTCCTGATGTCGGTACGACTGTGTAAAGATGGCTGCTCCAGGTGATACAGAGGGCAGACTAGGTCAGTCTGGTATTAAACCTGGTATTTACAAACCGTAAAATCCAGCTTCCAACCACGAAAGACGCACAGCAGAAGGGCGCAATTAGTCGTCTGTTCAGTGGACGTGATTGTGGATTGACACCATCAAACACTCCAGTAGCGTTGATTTCCCAGTAAAGGTGACATGGTGTGATCACTTTGTCCGAGAACTTGCTTTCTCAACCGTATCAGAATTGTGCGTGGAATATGAAAAAAATTAAGTCAGTTGCCGAGGTGTTTCTTAAAACGTCAACAAACGTTGAGTAACTGGAGCTGTGACCTAATGCTCAAAATTTGTCGTGGTGTTCTTGCAGATAACAGAAGAGATCAAAATTCCAGTTCGACATTGCAGATCGTCATGAAAGAGCCAGCCAATTATCGATAATGTTTCCGATCGAGGCTTTCACCAGAGGTGTCTTCGAGGTCAGGCCAACCTCCCAAATCGCTTTGTTGATTACACGGTCACATATACCACCTGGACAATTCGCTACACTGATAGGCGTTCCCTAGTTAAGCCTCAAGGTCATTCCTCATGAGTTATGAGCTTGTTCACCACGAAAAGTGTGCTTGAACGCAGCAATTCACGTTTCCACTGACCACAATGCCATGTAGTGAGCAAAATACTCATCGCTGATTGGTTGTAAGGCGTATCTTCACCCCACTTTCACATAGTCGATTTTGACCAAATAAACTGGCAATTATAATGGAATTTGAAAGTAAACAATTTAAAATATTTAGTTCTTTGTGAAAATCCAGGATTCTTAAGTAATCTTAAGTTAGTTTATACAATGAATTGTAGCAAATCGAACCCAGATCCTCAGATTTATGTGTAACAAACGATGAGATTCCAACTTATCAGTATACAGCCAGTGATGTACTGACTAGCTACGTTAAAAACCGTCGGTCATGGTGTGAATTAACCCGAGAATGCCCTGAAAACTGGCCAGCTCAATTTACCATCTTTCAAATCGTCGTTCGAAACACTTTTAATTCGTGAGAATCGAAACTTACAACTCCAATTCACAGAAGATCTTTCAGCCGTCCACATTTTTCTGATTGGTTGGTCACCACAGGGTACCAACCAATAGGATCCCGAGGAGATAGGTGGGAAGAGGCAAAGGGGGTACCAGATTTGGAAGGCATCGCGTCAACAGCCAATCAGATTGGTGTGTGGAGAGGGGGTACTTTTGAAAGTCTGCGCACTTTGAGGGGAGAGGACGTGCCTTCACACAGCCTCCCACCCCCTCTCCTCCAGCTCTCGCCGTGATTGGTAAATCACCCTATTAAATAATGGGAAGCCGGTCATGGCTATTCATTTGGAGTTACTACCAGAAGTACGTTGTCCTCGCACCAAACAATTTGCTTGTTATACCATGTCTTATTGTTTTGTTATAAAAATGAACTTATTCTTAACGTAATCCTACTCACCCTGTCCACGTCTCTTCAACCATGAACATTTGGTGATCCGGTTACACGCACGCATATTCTTACGTTGCTTTTTTAAACAAAGACTCTCACAAATGACTTGTTTTCGAGAATCCTTGCTGGATAATGACGTACCTCTGTCTTCAGAATCTTTGTTTCAAAATGTTCTATCGAATATCAAGGCACAATGCTAAGCCTCCTGCTTCGATTCCAATCCCAAAATATCACATGCTGATTTTGGTAGAATTGGAAATTTTGCCAGCCCTCAAGACAAACTCTTCTTTTTCGTTTCAATGTCGCACCAAAAGAGTCCAAAATGACAGTGATTCAAACAACCAGTAAACTCGTTACGATGTGAGCTTTGTCAATGAGAACATATTACAATTGGTCACAAAGTGCGCTTCATGGAAGGTGTAATTCCTTTTTAAAAACCTACATGATCACGTGTTTATCGAGGCTAGAGAAATCAGACCACACCAGGCTGGGACGAGCGAACCACAGAACTGGGGATAATCCGCTTCCTCATCCCCAGGGGGCTGCGGCTTAAGCCACCGGCAGTTAATTGTGTTATTCACGACGTCAACGACTCGGCATGCTATTATCACGCTTGGTTTGTACTATTTGACAAAGCCACGCATCCGAGCTTATTACCTGTGTTCAAAGTTCCCCAACCAATTAGCCTATTGACGGTTTTCCGCCACAAAGCTAAACAATCTGGTTTATTGTCTCTTAGCGGTAAGAGATTTTGAGGTGATCACGCGCGTGGTCACGAGCGGGACAGCAGACCACCCAATTCATCCACTGCCGGGCTGTTTGGGAGTTGAACTGATGGAACATGTTAGAAAAGCGTTTTTTTTTCAGAAATCACAATCTCGAGTCCTCAACATTGTCTTTAGTTTAAAATGCTGCTAAGTATTCACACAAAAATCGATGTCGTGATTGTTTAAATTCAGTAGGGAATAGGCGATGTTCGCGTTGAGGAGTGATCATATAAAAAATCGATATTGTCCTCATTCAAATTCCCCGGTTTAGGTTAAACACAGGATTGGCAAAATGGCGATGAAAATTCCTTCACTGAACAGGAGTGACAACCCCAAACCAAGGACTGGAACTTCGTGAACTAATCTTTTATATCTTGACTTATAGGATGCCTACGACTTGTGGATTCCCAAACTGCAAATTTCGATCTCGATACAGAGGATTCGAGGACAATCGGCACTTTTACCGTGTACCAAAGAAACCGGCCGTGCTGAGGAACAAGTGGCTAGAAGCTATTGGGCGCACGGAGGCGAACATCGTCAGTCAGGTACATTCGTTGAAGTTAAGGTGTCCAGATCTCAAAAATCTTCTTTGTTGCAACCTCACCTTTATCTTACAGTTGCGCATCTGCAGTGGACACTTCCATGGAGGTGAGAAGAGGGAAGGTGACATTCCAGTCGCCGATCCAGCCACAGATCCCCCTCGACGAATTGAACTGCCTGCAAAAGGCATGCGCGCTTCCATCACGTCGGGAATCCGCGGAGGCGGTCACCGAACGACTCAACGTCGGGGCAGTGGACTTGCGGGCGCGTACCGCTATCGATCGTTGCTGGCCCAGGCCCCGGGACTGCCACTCGCACCGTCTCTGCTCTCGCAGCATTCTCTCGTCGCGTTGGCGTCCACTCTGGCGGCGTCGCCTGCGGAACACTGGTCGGAGATGCTTCACACGTGGAATTCCCTTCTGAGTGGCGTCCTCTCAAAGCAGGTGTTTCCACGACTTCCTCTTCTTCCGACGCCTTCAATCGATTCACCGAACCAGCTTCATGCTCAGAGTGGTACTAGTCAGTCTTGTGGTATTTCGATTGGTGCTTTAGGAAGGTCTTGTCATCTGTGAGTTTGCGTGCAGTCGTTGTTAGGCACAAAACCGCTGACGGCATTCTCTTCATCATGGTTTTTAACTCAAAAGGTTACTTTTTAGTAAAAATGTCCTACTTACGATGTTTATTTTGATTTGGATTGTACTCCTATCCTTAAGTCAGGTAAACAGTAGTATAGTCAATTCGACTAATGGTAAATCCGGTGGGATTTGCTCTTGGGGACTCCTCGGCTTTGACAAGGACTTTGTCCACGATTTTTTAAATTGTAAACCACGGATTGTCACTAAAAATGTTGTGTGTTTGGTGGAGGGGTCGCAGAATAATGCTTCTGTCCGAGCGTAATCTTCCCTCTTTCAGCATAATAATGCTCGACCAAATGTTACTCAGCAGACACTGCAAAAATTAAAAATAGGAGTGGAAGTGAGATATCCTTCAGAAGCACCCACCATAATGTCCTAACCTTAACCCTTCAGACTTGTATATGTTTTGTTGTTTGCTATATAATTTACATAACAAAATTCTTGGGGCAGTGGATCAGCTCAAAATCTACTAAACGAATTTGTACGATAAGAAACCACGTAATTTCTCCACTGAATTAATTTAAAGAGTGAAAAACATACTGCATTGCACCTTGATTTCATATCAGCCACGATCTTTTTCATCACCCAATCACATGACGGGAATTCAAACTGATATCGATTTTTCCTCTCGCATCACCAAAATCGATGCAGCCCTTTCAGCCCACCCAGCAAATCAGATTTGTTTCGAAGCGTGGAGTACATGTTAATTAGCATCACAGCGATTGTAAAATCAACAAACTGTGGTGGTATTTTTTTTCCTTAGGTGTGATCTCAAAAACCGTGGTTATATTCGATGGATTTTCGGGGTGTCGCGTGACCTCGCAAGCCTCGAGAATCCCTCCACCGTCTTTAGAAAGTGTGGTTATCGTTCGACGACTCAGTGAAGCCAGTTTCTCTCCAGAGGTAAAGCACTGTAACTGAGTGCGTGCGTTGACTTGAAGTAGAATGCTTCGAGAGATCTGCCTTTCGTGTTCTAGGTCCTCCAATCAACCACGGTTGTCGTGTTCTATGACATGAAACTGTACGACAAAGAGGTCATTCGTCACTTCACGAACCTTCGGTTTGTCCTCCTCGCTGATATGTTCAACAACTCGCTCGACGAAGCCTCTTCGTACCTCAAGGAGCAAGGTAGGCTAGCCTACCAGTCAACAACGTCCTTGAAAACGAATTTCGGTTGTTTTAATGCTTGCAACGTGTTCGCTTTGTAGGCATTTACTTTAGGATAATGCAACCGGAACCAGACGTGGACACCGCCGCCGACACCGTCCTGGCGAAGATCCTTCAGTGCAACTACAGCTGCTCCCACTGCGACTGTCCAAGAGTTGTTCCAGCGCGTTTCAGAGCCGGTCAGCATGCCGAAAGGTTTCTTTACAGAAGCCTTCGCGGAAAAATCCTTGGTCTGGTTGGATTAGGTCAGTCTGGAACTGCCATTCTGTCCGTTACCCTGGTTACGACATCGTGGCCTTGTCACAGTTTACTGGGTGAAGTGACGAGCCCCAACCGATCTGTGGAAGGTCGGGGTAATCCACGAGAGGTTGTAATCCATAACCAACATTTGAAGCCCGAGAAATAACCAATCAACGGCGTTTATTTGACGTCAGTAAACTTGAGCAATTTATAAGATTGTGGTTTTGGGCAAGTAGCCTCAAGAGAGGAATCCGTACTGCAAAATTTGTTTCAGTACATAACAATCGGTGAGGTCGGAATGGACTTGTGGCGATCTGAAATTAAAGCGAATTTGGACCTCTTCCGTAATCTACAAGAACACAGCAGTAGATCTCGTCTCCCTTCTACTGAAATCCTTTACGTACTTCCGGGTGGTACACGTTTCAAAATTTTTTGACATTTTAAATTATGTTTCATGCTGATCGAAACAATTTAGTAGTGTCCTCCTTCAACCCCAAAAACGGATTTGTATTCTCCGAAGATATCTTCAGCCTCAGTTTACCAAAAACGGGTTGATTAGAATGTCACCGGGGTCGAATAAAGCCCTTTAACGTCCGCATTTAGCTCGGCTGTGAGCTAACCGACTTTCTGGTTAGGCGGATTTGTGTTTGGCAGATTGCATGAAATTTCGCCTAATTTTACTCACTAGAACACACTGCCTTCCGGCTATTTTACCCTTGTGTCGAATCTTGACGGCAAATCAGCCTGGTTGTCCCCTTGGTAGCGGTGTTGAGGTTATGAAAAACGCCTGTGGCATGCATAGTAATTAGACCCCTGGTTTATGGGGTCGTGGATTACCGCCTCCCACTGTTCGCTTGTTCATGCCTGTGTCAATGGGTGGGTCTACTGCGCGATCCAGAAAAAAATCAAATCACCAGCCTTGTGGAATTACTAGGCCACTGTGGTTTATTTGTGCAGTTTGCTACTTACAAAGACAGTCCAATACTAAAATAGTTTTATGCTTCAACACAAGAGCTTCTGGTGAATCGGTTAAAGTCAAATTTTCAAAGCTAACAGCATGCTTTTAGGCAAATGTGTTTTGTCCCGTTTAAAATCACCCGCCTTGCAAGCTGCACCGCAGTTGTTGCACGCCAAACATGATTCAGTGAAAAATCGATTTTCTATTGATTCTCCACTGACGAGGCTGGTAATCGATACAACCTGGATGAATCTGTAGACGTGTGAATGGGTGAAACGCGTGGTGCGGGGGAGGCAGATGCACAGGCGGGCGTGAGCGGACTGTCCCGTATGATCGATGGGGTCACGGTGGGAAGGAGACGGCAGCAAGTCTGAGGTTGCGACGACGTCAATCAAAACGCATCACTACTAGACTAGAATCTACGACTTGCGTGAACAACGATGAGATCAGGGTAGTCCGCGGAATAGTGGAAAGACGTGTTGTCTGTGGCTGCCACGCCCTTGAATCTTCGGCCACACAAGAGGTCGAGGGCGAAAGAGGTTGGGTTATCGCAGATAACGTCAAGTAGGCAAGTTTGTTTTCTTCCATCTACACAGATCCAATCGGCTTGGCGGTGGCTAGACGGAGTTGTGTGTTCGGGCTGCAGGTTCTCGTCTACGACCCTACAGCACCTGACGGCACCTGCAGTGGACTTGGTCTGGAACATTGCGAGCTGTTTGAGCACTTGCTGCCTGTCTGCGACTTTATCTCCTTCCACAATTGGTACAGACGCAGCAACCATTTGAGTGTAACAAGTAACCACTTAGATCTGATGCAAAAAGGTACGTTTCCGATTGGGTAACTGTCAAGGTCACGGAGTGATTCGGGTGCGAATAGCACAACCGCAACCAGCCATTGTTCTACAACAGAACCCATCAGTAAAACGTGCGAGTAACCCTGGCATCTTTGCATAATAACCTGAATCCTCTTAAATCACAGGTTTCAGTGAATTAAAACAAGACTAGCAAACCAAAACTTTCGAGTTTAATTACGAAAATAATGCACACTCTCGTGCAGAATGCCGACATCCATATGCATTACTTGAGATCAGCGCCATGTCTTTTTGGGTGAATTAAAACAAAAATTCACTTCCCATGGCCCTAAACCTGGAAGCTTTCTCGCGCGACAACCTCCAGTGGGGAGGCTGGGGTGTAATTATTTGATTTTTTTTAAATCCGAGGGACAATTATCTACAAAAGTCTCCAATTCGAGCCTAATGACAACCCATGGTTGCTTTCATTTCGCCCTTTTAATCAGCCTCATTGCTTGTCCACTAATTTGCTTTGAAGTTGTAACAGGAATCAAATAAGCGTTTGCGGGCATGTCATCATCATCATCATTATGATGATGATGATCAGCATCATCAACATCATCAGTGATTGGAAATTTGGCGATTTGGGGGCTGGAGAGTCTGAAGGTAAGTAGACAGCCCTGTGTTTCCCCTTTAGATGTTTGTATTATTTGTTCAACCAATCGTGTGACCTTCGACCTAACAATCATAGCCAGGCATCTTGCGCAGGGCCGACTCAGGCATGTTGTTCTCACTGGTGAACAGTACAACAAGTTACAGCCAGAGATGGCGTTCACACCAGGTACCTCATTGTCTTTCCTTCTTAACTTATCGATTTTTCAATTAAATAACACACACACGCACACCTTGGTGCTTCAAACGTGAAAATCTGCAAATGTGAAACATTGTCAGTAGAGCAAACTTATGAAGAACCGATTAAGACCTTGTAGTAGCGTAACGGTCGATAATATTGACAATTATTGCGGTTCGGAGATGGTAACACGGAGTTGTACGTTTTCCCTAATCTGGGTGGTCTTAAAATTTGCCAAGGGGTCCCCCCCACTAGACTCTCCAACTTCTGCCAAATCAACCAATCAGATCTGCTCACTGAGGAGTCCATCAGGCTGCATCGTCGCAGGGTTGCGAACGAGGTCGCCAACTTCCTGAGCAGCGCGTCGCCTTACCGCCTCAGTCCCGTCGTCCAGCGTCCGGTCACGACAGCTAAATCGGGGTCATCTCGCGCGAGCACTTCAAGCTCCCTGTCCGAGCCAAGCACGCAGATGGACTCGAACGTCTCTAGCGCTGACGGTGAGTTTGTTTTAATTTGCTTATTCTCAAGGTTGCAACTTTGGGGGGGGTATTTCACGTCAAGGTCAAATCGCTCGACTTCACTTAAACGAATCGCACATTTGGGTAAGGCGTTAGGTTGAATCAGCCAATGGGTAGCCCAGAAACCTGTGGCCACCAACGCACTTAATGCCTGTCATAATCATAAAATCGTTTATTGTGCGCAGAAGTGCAAACCCGTTTTCCAACCCCAGTGGCGTTGTTTACGACCATAAATGTTTTTTTTTAATTACAGAAGGTCCACCAGTATCCACACACGACATCGTTGGAGCAGCAATTGAGTTTTCTCCTTCTGTTGAACACGTTTAACCACTGAGTAGGGGTTATTTGTAGTTAACCAATGACTACTTCAGGACTTCTTTTAAAGGTACCGAATCCAAACCGCGTCAATGTGATTGCGCGCCGTTTTCAATCAATGCTCTAATCTGCAGCTACACCAGGATGACTCCATTCTCCTTCAACTACTAGCAGCAATTTCAATCGAAGGAGCACCCACAGACTCTTCTATCGTTGTTGTTGTTCTACTGACTTTGTCCTGTGCTTTTCCTGTGTTCGCTTCGAGTTAAATCTGGTAAATCTGTGTGTTGGTCTTGTCCAGTTCTAGGGAATAAATGTCAGTTGCTACTCCTTTTGAAACGCCAACGGTGTCACAGCTTACCAATCGGATGGTTGTGTCGCTATCGATTCGTTCAACTAGCCCAGAAGCCATCGACACAAAACTAGCCCGTAAACTCATGCGGGAAGGGCAGATTTACGAGTGGTCTGTTCAAGTGGCTCGTGGTTAATGGCGGTATTTCAGACGTGATATCGCATTAAGTAGACTCAGCGATTTTGTTCCTTTGTGCTTTCGTGGTTAAGCTAACTGATACATATGGTTTAGGTTAAAATTGGTCAGGCATGCTGTTAGCAAAGTCATGCGTGTGAACATGGCAGGTGGCAATTTGAATACCATTTTGTTACGTTACACGAGGGGGCAGGCATTACCCACCTCCCTCTTTCTTTTAATGTGCCAGCGACACCTGACAACACTTCTTTCTGTGGGGGGCAGTGCTAGAGGTGGGAGTGTGTGGAAGGTCAATTAGCGAATCAAATCGAGCGCGGGAATGTACTTAAATAAAGGAAAAAACTTCAGCAAAGCATACGACATATAATCACGGATTCGACCCGGGCACAGCAATTCGGGGCTCAAGTTGTGCCTAAATACTGTGTAGCACAGCCGAAAAGCGATCAATAAGGAAATCGATTTTGAGTAAGGTTCGGTGAAATCTGGCGCGCAAATTCAGCGCAATTTAAAACATTTGTGGAAAAAAATAAATTGATATTGGCTCAACAGGGTAAACATGCTCACAAATAAAAAAAGCAAATAATAATAATAAATAATAATATTATGGCTAAATAACAATATGTTTATTGCAACATAAGTTGTGTACTTTGGACGAGATAGGAAGAGCCTCAACCGTTGTTGAACTGCGTACTTTCTTCATTTGACAGGTAGTTCGGGGAACCTGTTTTCTGCCAGACCGCATACTACCTAATTTATTAATAGTAGGGAATACACTAACATTTCAGGATGCACCCACTTCAAATAGGGTTTGATATGGACATAAAGATCACCTACGCACTCATGTCTTGTTGCTGCGCTCTCATGTGTGAATTAACACAATTCCCCAGGATCAAATTAGGCTTTACCGATGCAAACGAGTAGCAGGAGTTCGCTCCACAACCAACTCCACGTAGCGAGACTCACAAATAAGGCATATCGACAACCATACACAGGATCGAGCGATCTCAGCCATCCACACACCCTCACAGTGGTTCTAATAAGGTGTCTTTCAAGGTCGTTGCCTAGGTGAATTTTGACCTAGCATTTACCATAAGAACCTCCTTGAATGTGATTCAACGCACTTCGACAAAAAAAGTTAAGGCTGAAGTGCAAACGATCGAAAAACTCGTTGCTATGGCGACCACAAAATAGTGGAATCCACTAAAGTACTTCAACGACGTGATAAGATAACATGGCGGACCCCATTTTTGCAAACCAATTTTGAACACACACTTGTTCAATCACGGGACAAGAGAACGGGAAAATGAATGTAATTGGTACAAGTAATATTTACAAAACTGGAGATTTCAGCGATATTCTTGCCAACCGGAGCCTCTAATCTTCTGCGAGCCTTCGGTGGAGGGTTGGTGCTAGAACGCAAGAAAAAGCGGAATTGGATTTCTGGTACTAACATGACATATGTGTACAGCAAAAATAATTAGCTACTAAAATCACATAAGTAGCTGTTTGTGATATCTGAGTGGAAGTTAAGCGAATAGAGGCTGCGACAATGCACAGATAGCAAAAATTATTGACATGCCCAACAAGACAACAGTATTTGGATTTACTACAGTGCAGACTTGGAAAACATATTTTAGCATTAGATAACAGCCTGTAACATTCTGACAATTTCGAAAATTATCCCAAATGCCTGAATGCGAAAATTTCGCGAATTGAAGAAATATGGAAGGAGAAACGCTGAATCAAAATGCAGGCTGGAACACCGACGAGTCTGACTGTTTCAGTTAGTGTGGATTACAACGAAAAACATCGTCCCAACTCACTATTGTTAATGGAGTTCGGCGTTGGTGTGCGCACAAGTGGATGCCCAGAAGATGTAAAATTGGACGACTGTACACGAATAAGAGAGGCAGGCGCGGCAACGGGAGCGATGACGTGAATGCCAGAACCCGAGGAATCGGATGTTGAGGCGACAGAAGTGGAAGAAACCGGGATTAGGCTGGGGCGTTGACCTTGAGCAGATGTGCCCGGCGTGTTTGACACACGGTAAACAGCAACACCGCCAGGGTTAGCACCAAGATTAGAGCTTGGAAGCACGAGTCTAGAGGCAACACCTGTCACACTGGGTACCTGAATGTAGCACATAGATTAAAAAAGGGTGGAGTGGGAAAAAATAAATGATGATAATTAAACGTACGTTTGCATCACCACCGGAGACAGTGCTAGAATTGATGCAGAAGTTCGGAGCTGTGAGAGTGTACTTTTCTGGTGCAAGTTTAATACCTTGACCAGGCTTAATGGCAGGGAGAGGCTGGCTATTAATTTTTTCCGCGTATTCAAGAAGTTGACCACGATGAAGCGGAGCAAGTATGATGTTTTCAATCTTCGAGTCGACAGCCAATATTATATCCTGTTCAGTGATATTTGGCCGTCCAGCGTAAGTAGCGAAGCATTTTGCATCAACGAGAATCTCACCAGTGTATTCTAGAAAGTATAGACGACTTCAATGGCATACTGGTAACAATGTCCAAAACACGAAGATATACATCATCGGACAATCCAGAGAGATTAAAATCCTCGAAAATAGATTTAATCACAATCGACGGCGACAAATTTTCGTCAGACCGAGCATCTGAAGCCTCCATCGGAGATAATTTACACACACAGAAAGCGAGGCAAGGGCTCTCATAGGTTGTTACCACTTCAGGTGCTACATTATCAACATCATTATTAAGTGCTATTTTGAGGTTTCTTATCTGGAAATTCATGCAAGGATATAATCATTATATCTAAGCAAGTTAAAAATATTTGCATTACGAAAAATTACAAATTCTGTGTTGCAACATGATTCAGTTCGCAGTCCTGACCAGTGATCTCGGTAAAAGAAGTGCCAACTTGTGATAAAAAACCGTAGCACAGATTGCTGTCTTAAACCATTTTCAAATATTAGTATGCAGGAAACTGTGTGACCGAAAATAAGTCACAAGATGTATACTAGTGTTTTTCATAACTACTACACAAATATAACTTTACACAAGCTCTTCTCATTGACAAAGGTTTTACCTTTAAAAACTTCTGATAAATCATTTTAATTGAATTTAGCACATGCACTATTAAAGATGTGATGTTGACGTAAATTAAATTGTTGTGTTTGGCGAAGTCGAAGTTGTGTATAATGTATTTGCATCAATAACGACATGTGGCATAATAGTTTACATTACATATCTACCTTGTGACAACAGAATCAGATATTTTTAATTTATATTGGATACTATGCAAATTAAAAAACCTCAGGCGCAACCACAACGTAGGCTGTTCGCGTTATTTATTATAATGACCGTTTTAGTAAAACTTATTCGAATTAGGCATAAGTGTGGGTAAATAAGTCACATTTTTAGCTCGTTTAAATTAATTAAGAATTCATCCAAGCCAACCGCTTTATCGAAAAATAGCGGTGCAATCGTATTTGCTGTCACTCTCCGCGCTGCGCTGTTAGTTTATCTGTTTAGTTTCAATTTAAAGTATCCTTTACGTTTTTCCTGAAGAAGATGTCTGCTTCCGATGTGAAAACTGCTCCAGTAAGTACACTTTATTAAGGTGTATTTGTTAGAAATCACAAGAAGAACAAGAACTTGAGTTCAAGGCCAAATATCCGCGTCTCGCACAAAAGGGTGCCAGCTCTATGCTTCTTCAGAAGAGACTCAACCGTGGAGTAAGTCGGTTACTTATTATGTTGCTTTTGCGCTAGCCTGTATTGGTCACCATTTTCGCTTAATGTTCTTTAACTGGCTTAGTCTCGCCAAGTTTTATGCCGGTGGTCTGCAATCCGTTCATGTTAGTGCCTCGTTATACCAAATTGATAGAAGTTTATCGGGTTAGACTGGCATTTCGGGGACTGACTAAAACCTAGAACATTGTGAAATGTCGATTTCCGAGTCCGTGAAATCAGCGCGTGGATCTTAATGGTTAAGTCTGACCTTTTGGATCTCTTGTCATTTACTACGAATATTGCAACCCGATCATGATTACTGTCGATTCTGTAGTAAGGTTTGTTGTGTTCCTGTCTGAGCTTCTAATTATGCATTTGAAATACTGGGGACCATTTGCCGCCATATGACTCCACGATTTTGTGTAAAACACGTGTTCCGATTCGGACGCTGGTGCACGACACCTTGAATTCTGGCCCGACGTTTTTTCGAAGCATCTATCAGACATGGGAACACGGAAAAAGTACTGAAAATAATGCTGTACAAAAGTCACATGAATGTGACTTCACAGTAGGCGATCAAGGCTATTTGAAAACGATATCTAATTCCTGATTACTTGCTCTCTACTGTTCGTGTAAGTGACCTGTAGTTTTGAGGTTAAGGCTATGTTATGTCGACCTGATAATGCTCTGTGGATACCCTGAAAAGCTAAAAATGCAACCTTTTATTTGATGTTTCAACCTTGTTGCGTTGTTTTGATGCCTGTGTGAATGTATTCATTGTGTGTGACTAATATGGTGTGGGTGAACTAGTAGAATTACGAATAACTGAATGACCGGATGATTGCTTTTACTTAACAGTTGATCTGCAGTGTACTTGAAAAGTACGAATTCTGTCCGCAGACGCGTTTAAAGGCATAATTTTTTTGTCAAAGGCTGTTTTACCGCGATTGACCCAAAATGCTTCATTCTTTGTGCATTTCACTATTAAAAGCAAATGAAAGTGATTCCAGATCGTCTGGTAAAAAAATTTGAACATTACTCTGTTTCTCTGTTGTTCGAATTTAACCTCCGACTCAATGTAAAATGCGTCTTCGAGTGATCATTTTTTCCTTGCCATCGCGTTGTTCGCTTAGGGGTTACTCCCGCAGATAACGATCTCATCGTGAGCACTTTTTCATAGCAGTATATTTGAAGGCTTACTATTTTACTACTATTGCACACGCACGGGCGATAGTCAAGCGCGGTTTAATTACATTCGTGTATATGCTTCGAGGTCACGTTGCCTCTTGCCGTGGTTGAGATTCATTTCGCCTCCATCTCTGGCGCGTGGTAAGATATTGCACTTTGGCAGGAAGCCAAACGGTACTTCCCAGTGATCACTGAGGCCGATAACTTTAATTTGCCTAATCAAGCTGCCCAAAGTCACGTGATCAGGCCCTAAACTTTGTGATTCGCGCCACCTTGCCACGATAATTCGTGTTGGCGCTAGCTTCAGTACCTTATAAGGTCTTGAGATAGGAGAAACAAACATGTATTGTTTTAAGCTCCTTCTACCTCCCTACGCGCCGCCACTGGTCGCTGTGGCAATCATCACTGCATTACCATTGCTTATCCATCGTTTATTCCGCGCAAAAACTTGATCGTCTGTTGAATGGCTTTCCCTGTTCTTGTAGCGATAAACAAGAACGTGCAAAGGTGTAGGTTGGGTTAGCACGTTTACTTCATTCAAAAATGCCATGCGTGTTGTGGAATTATGAAATCGGATTTGACTGGCATGTGGTTTTACCATCCATACACAAGGCAACGAAAGTGTTGATAGGTGGCAACTCGACTGGAGGTGTTGGCGGTTGCTTATTTTTAGCAGGTTTTGTGCGCGATGCGCCTACCCTTACAACGGGCACAAGCCCTTATCGTTTTTTTCATTAAAAAAAGCTCAAGAACCACTATGGTGTGGGGGAAAACGGTGTGTTGTGTGCGTGGTCAATAGTCCTGTTTCAGTAGGGGTGGCACATGCCATAAATCATCCACAGTGGTTCAATGATCTGGCGGTTTCACGCGGAGGGCGGAGCAATGTGTGTCGATGGCTTGGTGTCCACATTCCACACGGGCGGCGTCGTCGAAGCTGCTGTGCCAGCGTCTAAATATAGGCCTGTCTTGTTTGATTTTATGGCCTTTGCAATCATTAAACTCGTGTAGCGCTCTAGTGTGCGTGCCTTAGTGAATTCCTTAGGGACATTGCTTCGCACTCAACGAAACAGACTCCCTACAGACCTCAGTCGACATGCTCAAAGTTTTTGGCTAAACTTATAAATACTGCTGTAACTGTCCATATAGCGAAATTCAGTGGATTTTTGTGTGTGTGTGTGTGGACGTCTAGGTGTGTTTTTGATATCGAGTAAAGAAGGCGTTCAAATGTCCGGTTAGAGTTCCATGAGAGACGAACGGCCGTGCCACCATCCAACTGTCTGGAATAGATTCGAATGACCCATGCGCTCCTGGATTCGCCGTTAGCAAGCGTTCTTACCACCTCCCAGATTCCAAGCTATCGACGCATACGTGATCAAACCATACGCAAGGAGCTTTAACCCGGACGACCTGGAAAGTTGTGGAATAACTTGTGGGTTGTCTGCTGTTTCCTCAGCTCTTTAATCAGATTGCTGAACTGTCGTCACCTGCGACTTGTCTTCCGTAAATTCAATGCTCGGACGATGGCCTGTGTAATACCATGTCTCTTGTAGCCTTGATGCCACAGATGTCATCAAATTTTTCTCGAAGCATTCGGAGCTCCAGTTTGCAGTCGTCAAAGTTCAAGAAAACGTGTGAAGAGCACGACCAGGAGCTTGTGCTTTCAGATGCGGCGTCGCTTTCAAGTCTTAGTAAACCTAGACGAGGAACATTCCAGCAATTGAACTGCCTCACTGACGGTTCGCTGCACAACTGTGCCCGCAGCAGAACGTCGGAGCCTTCTTTGTTGGTGTGTTGCCTGGAATTACCTCGTCAGAGAGACGACGTAGGTTGACCATAGTAAAGAAACGTCTGAGGTGATTGAGCGCTTCGGGTCTCTAGGCGCAAGCCAAAGCCGTGCTCCTGTTTGGTAACCCAAAAGGCCTTCATAAGCCATCGGATTAGCCTGGGGATCTGGCAATGCGCCGTGGCAAGTATTGGGGGTTGGACGGCCACCGCAATTACCACACAGACACCCCGCACCACCCGAGGTCATTCTTTGGTACCTTTTGCATAGTGGCAGAGCTTAACTCGTGACAGGGCCTTTGCCGACCATTCGGGAATTGTGGGTGGTTTCTGGCGAGCGTTTTCGCTAATTAACGACCTCTTCGTCTTGGACTGCCTTCAATTTCAACCACGTTCGGCTTGGATATGTCGAAGAGTGTTACTTGTGGAGACGAAAACACCCTTGTTTTTGTCCATCCAGTCGTGTGGTTTGATTCGACCGCCTTTTCGAAGAAAACATCAGTCGCGCTTGAATTTGACGTTGCATCGACCTTACGTCTACCGTTTCTGTCTTTAGCCTATTTCTGTCCAACAAATTACGTGAGATTTCGTTCAACACTGACTTGGCCCGACGGGTGTTTTGAGTTAAAACCTAGCAATTCCTGTCGCAGAGACATCGACAAACTACTTGACCAGACGTCGGTGAAGGAGTTCTGGTAGAATGCCCTGGCCTGAAAGTGGACGGTATCGTCAAACTAGCGATCTCGTTGGTTCTGTGGAACAATCTTCGTGTAATCACGGTATCATTTTAGCCTCTACGTTAGCTTGAACAACAGCAATGAGAAATCGAACTCGATTCTTAGTCGAGAGGAGGGGGGTAGTTTGTGTGTAAAACGCCCAACAAATCGTGGCAAACAATTTCTCGACTATCCCACCACACACCCATCGAATTGACCTCGTGGAAGGTCGGCGGCCAACTAGGGACAAGGATGGATGCGAATGAGCGGTTCTGGCTCGTGGTTAGTTGGTTTAAGTGTGCGTTCTAGTTTCGGCTGTGTCGGCAACACATCTTCACTTCTGCCCACACCGCATTCACGTAGCATGGCGCTCATGCGCGTTCTATTCTTCTTTCATTTTAATGACGCCCCACTGACTGGCTGCGTGCCGTGTCCCTTTCAGCACAAATTCTTCGACTCCGGCGACTACAACATGGCGAGGGCGAAGACCGCGCGCCAGAAGTGCACGTCCGTCGACGAGAGCAAGGCGACCGAGGCGGAGCAGGAGGAGATGCTGCAGGAGTCGACCGGCGTCACCATAGCAACGCCCGAAAGCGTGCCTGCTGTGCGCAAGAAGTCGATGGCTGAGGCCTTGCGCTCGCCCCGTGGAAGCATCGTTGCCACCGCCGCCGCCACCGCTTCCACCACCACCACCACCGCTGAGCCCCAACACTCTACGGAGCACTAGTGTGGAGGGGGTGGGGCTTGCGGGTGTTTTGGATGGCACGTCGACGTCACTGACTACTCACACACACACACATTTTTCCATTTACTAGCACTGTGTTGCATCGACACGTGCACCAGAGCAACTCAGAGGACACGCCGGGGTCTCCGCTCTCGCCTCTCAAGTACAATGTGTCGCCTCGTTTCCGTTTTCTTCCCTTGTTTGTGACGACGTTTGTTTAAATTACTAACGCTATTGTGCCTGTGTATGCGTGGTCGTTGCCTTTTGGACACGCGTCTTTATCGTCAACGCGAATTCCTTGTCATGGGTTATCTAAAATTGACTTGTAGATCCGAGAGGATCAGGCCACCGCTGCCCCACCCAGCACATGCGAATCGTCGTTACGCGAGGATGAAGACTGTCGTTGACTTGTCCTTGAGTTGCCTGTTCGTCGTCCCAGCCGTTTTTGCAGCTGCAATGCGATCCACAAAACCGTCAGTGGGTTTTGTTGCTTGGGACGATGCAGCACGAAGTACCCAAGGAAGAAACTGGTCAGGAAAGAGAGAGAGAGAAAGAGCAGGCCAACCATTTACTCAATGTCTCCGTCAAGCCATGGTGTCGTGCCACAGTGCATAAAAAGACATGTCTGATCGCTAGAGATGTTGTTGGCCTGTGAAAGGACGATTGCTTGAGTAGCTTGGGGTATGGCTGGGAATTCGACGATCAGGCTATTGGACTAACAT